TCATACCGGGCACATGTGCATGTGTGCCCAAGATCCCAAGAGGAGAATGGAGGAGAAGGGCGTGACCATGCCCTCTGGGGGGTGATTTCTCGCTTTCTGTCTCTATGTCTCTGTTTGTCTGACGAGCGCACGCGCCCTATAGTGAAAACCTCTCCAAAAAAAAAAAAAGTGTGTGTGTGTATGTGTGTTACACATTATGATAGAGACTTTATGTAAAAGGTTAAATGAATCTGGAAAAAAAAAAAAAGAAAAAATGAACACTGACTTCAACTTAAAGTCACAAGCTACATAGGCCCCTAACAAGAGTGTCAGCCTGTTCTCTGGAGCTTTGAAGCCAGGCATTGACTTCTCTCTTGCTATTAAAGTCCTAGACAGCATCTTCTTCCAACAGAAAGCTGTTTTGTCTACACTGAAAAGCTACTGTTTAATGTAGTCAATTCACCAATGATCTTATTAGCTAGATCTTCCAAATAACTTGCTGCTTTGTCTTCCACTTTCCTTAAACCTTATGAACCAACCTCTCCAAGCTTCAAAATTCTGTTCTGCAACTTCTTCCCTTCTCTCAGCTTCCATAAAATTGAAAAGAGTTAAGGCCTTGTTCTTTTGGATTGGGCTATGGCTTAAGAGACAGGAAAAGTGATAAATCACTGCCTGGGGGATGGCCACGCTGCAGTCTCTTCTCCTCCATTCTCCTCTCAAGATTTTAGGCACACACATGCACCCAGAGTGATTTTTCAAGCTGCCGGGAGGGAGACTTGAACTGTCATCAGCCACCTGGGAGTCCATTACCATAACCACTATGCCACCTGCTAGCCCCTTGGGCAGAATTCTTTCTTCCAAGAAACAAGAACTAAGATCCTTGTTTCCACACTAACAATACAAAGACCAAAGCATAGAATTTGAAAAATTAAAAGCTAGCTTGAATACAGAACCCAATCTCGTTTGGTCAATCATTATTATATTTTTTAATAGAGAGATTTCTGCTACAGGGCACGTACACTCCCCGGAAAGACAGAGAGAGAGAGAGAGACAGGGAGAAATCACCCCCCCATGGGGGATGGCCATGCCACAGTCTCTTCTCCATTCTCCTCGTGGGATTTTGGGTACAAGCGAACAAAAGCGAACATGCTCCCACATAAGTTTCAAGCCTCCAGGCCTGGGACTCAAACCATGGTCAGCCATGTGGGAGTCTAGCAATGTAACCATTACACCATCTGCTGGTCCCACATTAATTTTTTTTTTAATGAAATCATAGCATTTATGTATTTTTTTGCCTCCACAGTAATGTTTTTTTTTTTTTTTTTGAGAGGTTTTTGCTATAGGGGGCGTGCGCTCGCCAGCGAGACAGAGAGACAGAAAGCGAGAAATCACCCCCTGGGGGGATGGTCACGCCGCAATCCCTTCTCCTCCATTCTCCTCTCGGGCTCTTGGGCACGCACACACACGCGCCCGGCGTGAGTTCTAAGCCACCCGGTCCGGGACACGAACCGCGGTCGACTACGTGGGAATCCAGCGACTTAGCCATTACGCTAGCTGCTGGTTCCCTCCACAGTAATGGTTTTTAAATAGAAAATAATTTTTTCAAAGTAATTTTATGTGGATGATATATATCTAATTCAATTATACTTATAATGCATATGGGACTAAGCTAAATTTGTGCTAAACTATTTTCATTTTCACACATCTATATTTCTCTCATATTGTTTCTTTTCCTTTTATGAGTTGTACATTTCTAAAAGTAAATGGTTATTTTAGAAGCACTGAATCAGCCTCGATTATAGCAATGGGACCTAAATAACACAAGTTATAATGTTGGCAACAAAACAACAATGACAACAAAAATCAAATATTT